AGATCGAGGTGAGCAGCTGACATCGGGGGACTGGCGGGGGGGGGTGCCTGCCCTCCTTACGCCCTCTCCAGGTTTATGTCTCACCCCAGCGTGAGCCTCGTTAAGAGCACAGCCCCCCTGCTTCTTCCTCTCTGTCCTGCCCCCCCCCCCCCCCACGTCTCCCTTGCCCCCCAGATCCCATCAGAAGGCAGAGTGGGGGGGGCCGGCGCGAGTGGGAGCCCCCCCCCCCACGGGCTGCCATCGCCCCCCTCCCCCGACCTCATCATCCTGGCGCCGTCGAGCGCTCGGCGTCATCTGGGGGGGTCCGGAGCCCCCCACTGGTACGGGACACAGACACCTGCACGCACACGTGTGGGTGTGTACACGTGTGGGCGTGTACACGTGTGGGCGTGTACACGTGTATGTATCCGTGTGTGTGCGCGTATAGCGTAGCGGTTAGCGCTATGAACCCGGCGACCCGGGTTCAATTCCCGCTCACGGCCAACACCAGTGACGATTTTCTGAAGCGGTCCTGGGCCTCCCAGAGGTCGACTCAGCCTCAAATGAGTACCTGCTGCGGTGTGTAAACATCACCACTGGGGAGACAAAGGCGGTCGGGCGTGGTGTTGGCCACCCACCCCTTCGTGTGCTACTCGCCAACAGCACTTGCCCCAACAGTCTGTTAAGGCTACACGGGGGATCTGTGTCCTTGTTTGCGTGCGTGTGGGCAGCGTGCAGGACGAGGGGTTGGCGGCGCCGTCGCCGCGCGGGGCGGGCGAGGGCTGTGCCAGGGGGGAGCCCCTCAAGCATCGGGTCCCTCCGGCCAACTCGCCACTCCCCCTCGCACACGCGGTGAGCCACCTCCGCCGACGATGCCCTGCGGTGTCCTGTCTCCCGTCTCCTCCCGTCTCCGTCCCGTCTCCTTCTCCCCGTGTAATGTCTCGACGAATGGGTTTTCTCCGGGGTGATGTGGAGTGACTGCTAAACGATAGCGAGCGATGGATGCCGAGCGATGGATGCCGAGCGATGGCGAGCGATGGCGAGCGACATCACTGTGGAGTGACCGTGACCCTGCTGACCCTGCCCCTGTTGGCCGCACAGCTCGAGAGCTCCTCTGGGCAAGACGAGGATCTGGCGTCGGGGAGCAGCGCCGGCCAGCACAACAACAGCGGCGGCGGCGGCGGTGGCGGTGGAGGAAGTGGTGATGAGGGGGGGCGGGTGAGGAGGAGCCTGGTTCAGTAACAGCGCCACGATCGACCGAGACGGCACGGACGGGTGGAGCGGGGCCATGGGGTCGTATGGTCGTGGGTGGAGCGGGGTCGTGGGGTTGTAAGGTCGTGGGTGGAGCGGGGTCGTGGGTCCGTGGGTGGAGCGGGGTCATAAGGTCTTGGGTGCAGCGGGATTGTGGGTGAAGTGGAGTTATAGGGTCGCCGGGGTTATAGGTGGAGCAGGATCGTGGGTTCATGGGCAGAATGGGGGCGTGAGGTCGTGAACGGAGCGGGGTTGTGGGTAGAGCAGGGTTCGGGGACGGAGGGAGGAGTCGGGAGCGGAGCGGGGACGCGAGGTCGGGGGTGGAGCAAGCGTCGGCATCGATCCCAGGACCAGCACAGCTGCGAGCGCAGCGAGGGGAGGCGGTGGTGGAGGCGGTGGTGGAGGCGGTGGTGGAGGCGGTGGTGGAGCCGGTGAAGTCTCCACGGCGCCGCCCTGGAGCTGCTCGGAGCGCTTGGGGCTGCGGGGAACCCGTGGATGTCCATAATGTACATAGCCGGCGGCGTGACGACTTAGAGATTCCTATCACTCGGGGCTGTTGTAAAGGTTTACATATGCACATACGTGTGTGTGTGTGAGAGAGGGGTGGGTGTGTGTGTGTGGGAGGGGGGAGCGGTGGTGCAGCGGTTAGCGGGCTGCGTTACGAACCCGGCGGCCCGGGGTTCGATTCCCGTTCACGGCCAACACCAGTGACGATTATCTGAACCGGTCCTAGGCCTCCCCTAGGTCGACTCATCCTCAACGTAGTACCCCGGTGTGTCAGCTTCAGCACTGGGGAGACAAAGGCGGCCAGGAGTGGTGCTGGCTGCGCCCACCCCCTTGCATGCTGTGTGGGCCTTCATAGGTGTTCGCTGACATCACCTGCCCCAACAGCACCTGCGTAGACCACACAGGGGGTGTTCGTTTGTGTTGTGAGGAGTGCCGTTACCGACTGAGTGTGTCCGCGTATAGTCAGTCCCACGCTGTCTTTCTTTGCTGCCAGTTCTTTTACATTTTCTCCTTTTCCGTACCACTGCCATGGCAGCTGTTGTTCGCGGCTGTCGCTCACTGGCGAGCGGTCAGCACGAATTGTGGGATGAGTTATCCGGTGGTCTTGATGGAAAAGAACTCGCACAGTCAACTCTCGACTATCCGGGGCGATGGGGTCGGGGTAGGGCTTGCCAGGATAAACATCGAGCAGCCAGCAACAAATAGTACTCTCAGAGTTGTGATGGATGTGAGAGAGAGAGAGAGAGTGTAACCACGGCGCTGGTCTGAGCAAGGTTGTTATGATAAGAGCTTGCGAGGGATGAAGCAGAAAGTGTGGCGAGTCAGTGAGTGGATGAGTAGGTGGACGAGTGATTGGCCGAGTGACTGAATAAGTGGTTTTATGAGTGAGTGAGTGGGTTAGTGAGTAGGTAACTTGTGGTGAACATGCAAACAAAAAAAACATGCTCTGGTAGTCTATGATGGTGCATTGTCTTTGAAACTGATTGGTCCACACCAGAGACAGCTTTCTTTAGAGCCTCGTCTCACTGTTAGACCAGAGGACGCCAAAAGGCAAACAGTGTGGACCAATCAGTTTGAAAGACAATGCATCATCATACACTACCAGAGCAAGTTTTTTTGTTTGCATGCTCACCACAAGTACGTGTGGTTAATGCAGACAGGATTCCTTGCAGAAGGTTTCTGTTTGGGTTTTTAACATTTTAACACAACTGTCTTCCATAATATAGGGGTTTTTTGGGGTTAGATCACCTGAGGAAGCTAGTTGTAATTACTGGCGAAACGTCGTACTCAGATTGTAAATGTTGTGGCTTGGCTCTCCAACACACCGGTGTGCTGTACTAGTGACGAATTGGCATGTTCTGTTTACGTGACAACCCTTACTAGTTGGCTGTGTTGGGTGGTGGTGGGTTTTAACGGCACATTTTTATAATTACACGATCTAACCCAAAAAAAAACCTCTTATGGATGATATTGGACGCAAAAGCCTACTACGTGTTAAACTCACAACAGTCTTATTGCCAGAAAGGGTAAAACCTATTCTTATATAAGCCGTATCGTTCCACCCACGTTTAAACGTGGGTGTGTGGGTGAGTGAGTCGATGTGTTGTTGTGACCTGCAGTGTGACGAGTGTGTGGGTGGGTGGATGAGTGAGTGGGCTTGTAGGTGGATGGGTGAGTGGGTGTGTTATTGTGAGCTGCAGTGCGGTGAGTGAGTGTGTGGGTAGGTGGATGAGCGAGTGAGTGTTGTTTTGACCTGTGGTTTGGATGAGACAAAACAGTTGGTAGCCCGAATCCTCAACAAGGAGTGAAGCTCACAGGGAACAGGAACCCTGGTAGTAGTAGCCGCAGCAATAGAAGAGTGATCAGGGGACGACAGACCACCGCTGATGAGTGAGCGAGTGAGCGGAGTGAATCCGTGAGCACTTGGATCATCAGTCACCCCGACTGCTACGTTCTGCCGGGTACCGAGTCGAGCAGCGGTGAGGCCGGAGCTCTGGGTGCTCCACCACAGATGTGGCAGCAGCAGGAGGCCAACTTGGGCCAGATTGGTGCTTGGCACACCGGCGGTGACGATTGCTCGGGAGTTCGATCACGTGGGCAGCGCATTCGGCCGCCCTCGACGAGCGAGGAGCAGCCCCGGTAACCGGAACCGCACTGGCCGCACGGCGCGCGGGGGAATCCTGATAATCGAGAGTTGACTCAGTATGTTTTTAAACTTGCCGATGCTGCTGCTTCGCTGACAGTGGTGCCACAAGCAGAGTCCAGGAACACGGCAAGACACTCAACACGCGTGTCAACAACAACACCCCGTGTGTGGGTGTGGCCTGAAAAGGAAAAGCATGTATCATGGGGGGAATTTTCAGCAATGGCCCTACTTGGTGGCACATTGATTTTGTGTGCTGTGAAGGAGGCCCATTGGCTGAAACGTTGCTTGTTATATATTCTTCTTCTAATGCCACACGCGGCGTGTTGTTTTTGACACTGAACCTGTCGAGACTTTTTTTTCTCCAAAAAAATACTTCCATTTGGTTTACATTTTAAGTTTATATATACACTGTACAGTATATTTTTTATTGGTGATTTTTGTTGGTAAATGTTATTTAATTTACTGAAGACTAACTTGACACGCATGGGAATTGAGAAGAACCGGAAATTCGTGTGTGCACAGCGTTGGAGCTGTTGTGTTTGTGTTGGAGTTGGTGTAGAGGTGGTGTGTGGTGCTGGTGGTGTAGAGGTGGTGGTGGAGAGGTGGTGTGTGGTGGTGGTGTAGAGGTGGTGTGTGGTGGTGGTGGTGGTGTGGAGGTGGTGTGTGGTGGTGGTGGAGAGGTGGTGGTATGTTGGTGGTGGTGGTGTAGAGGTGGTGTGTGGTGGTGGTGTAGAGGTGGTGTGTGTTGGTTGTGGTGGTGTAGAGGTGGTGTGTGGTGGTGGTGTAAAGGTGGTGTGTGGTGGTGGTGGTGTAGAGGTGGTGTGCGGTGTAGAGGTGGTGTGTGGTGGTGGTGGTGTAGAGGTGGTGTGTGGTGGTGGTGTGTGGTGGTGTAGAGGTGGTGTGTGTGGTGGTGGTGGTGTAGAGGTGGTGTGTGGTGGTGGTGTAGAGGTGGTGTGTGGTGGTGTAGAGGTGGTGTGTGGTGGTGGTGGTGGTGTGTGGTAGTGGTGGTGTAGAGGTGGTGGTGGTGTGTGGTGGTGGTGTAGAGGTGGTGTGTGGTGGTGGTGGTGGTGGTGTAGAGGTGGTGGTGGTGGTGGTGTAGAGGTGGTGTGTGTTGGTGGTGGTGGTGGAGAGGTGGTGTGTGTTGGTGGTGTAGAGGTGGTGGTGGTGTAGAGGTGGTGTGTGTTGGTGGTGTAGAGGTGGTGTGTGTTGTGCACGCTGTGTCAAGGTGTTGAGTTGGTGTCGGGGTGTGTGTGTGAGTCTTGTGAGTGGCTATTGCAAATGTGAAAAGCTTTCAAAACAAATCATATCACCTGTACGGGCGACCTGTAGAGAATAATAAATTACATCACTGTGTGTGTGATGCTGTACACGGAGTCATAACGCACGCTTGTCACACACCCCGAACGCAACACTCCGCTCGCCGCTGATGTGATGCGCTAACCGCTGTCCCACCGTTCCCTCCGACGTCAGTCTCACTCGGTCTGGCAACACAAGCTCGCATTGTGACAAGCATGTCACAGGATAAAGACAAAGATCCCCATATAGTCTACACAGGCTGTTGGGTCAAGTGCTATTCCGCGAGCACCTATAAAGGCCAGCACGGCACACGAGGGTTTGGGTAGCCAACACCATGCCTGGCCGTCTTTGTATCTCCACTGCTGATGTTTACACACCGCACCAAGTAGGAATTTAAGGCTGGGTCAAACCTTGGGGAGGCCCAGGAACGTTTCAGATAATCGTCACTGGTGTTGGCCGGGTTGGTAGCTCAGTGCATGAACCACTGCGCCACCACTCCCCACTTTGTCACGGGAACCAGGAGCACATACAAACAGTTTAATGAGTTGAATGTCCATGATAATGGAGGTGATGGAGCCGCTAGTGCTGGAGATGGAAACCTGTGATGATTGATGATGCGAGTATGAGCGATACAGATATGGATGATGGTGTTGGCGATGAGCGATAGAGCTGAGGATAGTAATGATGATGATGGTGGTGATGGCGATGATAGCATTGGGATTAATAGGATGACTGATTATGTTATTATGAGACTGACGGTGGGGTTATCATAGGGATATAGGTGATGATGGTCCTTGACGTAGTGTGATGATGGTTCTGGTGAAGACGGTTGCTATGGTGGTGATGGTTGCCACAGTGGTGATGTTTTCCGCGGTAATTCCGGTCGGCATGATGATGATGGTTACCTAGGTGATGATGGTTGCCACGGTGATGATTGCCGTGGTGATGGTGGTTGCCCCAGCAACGGCGGTTGGCATGGTGACGACGATGGTCGCCATAGTAATAATGGTCGCCGCTTCTGCGCGGCCACGTGATGCGGCGGGGCTGAGTCACGTGACACGAATGCCGACATGGCGGAGGTCCGTGACGGCCTCATCTCCGAGTACCTGGACGCGCCGCTGCTGCGGGAGCGAGGGGACCGCCTCCTCTTCGACCACCTCTACCGCCTCGCCGTCGCCTACTTCGAGCTCGGAGACTACGAGCGCCTCTCCGGTGTCTACCGCGCGGCCAGCGGTCAGTGGCAGTTGTAGGCCTCGGCGAGCCCTCCCCCGTTGCCTGACTCGCCTGCCGCTCCCGAGGTGCACGGTTCCCGCGGAGTGATGCGTCTATGCGCCCCCTCCTCGGGGCTCTCTCTCGTTCGTATCTCACGTCTGTCTGGTCGCTCTCAGCTCTCTCGCATCTGGCCTCTACCCATCGCTTCCCACCCGCCTGCTCCGTCTCATCTCTCCTTTCATTTCCTGCGCCCACTCTCCCGGCTCCCCACCCCCCATCTTCACCTCCATTACCTCTCTGTTCCCGCGCCTCTTCTCGTGTTGCAGAACGGCGCGAGGGAGCCGATACCCACGCACACACACACGGAGCTACCTCCGAGATCTCTTCAAGTGTCCCGGTGCAGAAAGTATGAGGCAGCACTTTGCAACCTGCCCTGCCACAGACGAACTAAAGTTCGAACTTTAGTTCGTCTGTGGCAGGGCAGGTTGACGACGGTCAACTCGATATTTGAATTCTGAAAAGCAGAAATTCATTCCAAATTATGAGCACGGTGCAATCATTTGTGACCAGGCTGTGACCATCAACTCGCTGTGCGAGTCGTTTGACCTCACATTCATGGGCACCTCTCCGTGTAGGCCTCTGGTTCTTTTGTACGTCTGTGGGGCCTCTCTGTAAGTCCCTGGCACCCTGCCTGAGGCCGTCCAGTGGTTCTCAAGCGGGGGTATGTGGACCACTGGGGGGTACGTGAGGCGATTTGTATGTGTGTGGAATTATATCATGCACGAGAGTTATTTGTGAATAGTTTAATCACGTATGAATCTGCAAATATAAAATAACTACGATGTAAATGCAGTGTTTAAACTAGAACGATATAAAATACATTTCTAAACTCACGGATCGTAAACAATGTGGTTTTCAGGAGTAACCAGTGAGCATGCAGAGCGGCCATTGAATAGTGTTATCCCTTTGCAGTTATCTCGTTACCTCACAACATGGATAATTGGTGAAAATATTGATGTGAATTATTTATACGTTTATTTATCAGAACCATGTTGGGCCAGGCAAAAGGGCCTACTCCGTTAAAACAGATTTCAACAAGGCGGGGCGGGGGGGGGTAACAGTCGTATCCAAAAAAGGTTGAGAGCCACTGCTCTAAGCCAAGCGGGCATCTTGTCGTCGTCGTCTTTGCGGAGTCCTCCTGCTGCTTCAGCTCCACCACGTGTGCGCGTACCGTGCTGGGTGACGCAGGCGCCCTGCAGTTCCTGCGGGAGGAGCAGCTAAGGCAGGTGCAGTGGAAGTTGATCCAGCTCATGGAGATGGTGATGCGCGGACAATTCTTTGGTGAGACGCGCGAGCACTGGAGGTGGTGTTGGTTGCTGTGATTATGGTGGCGGAGTGATGGTGCCGGTGGTGGTGATGGATGGTAATCGTATTGATGGATGTTGGTGATGGCTGGTATTGGATGGTGGTATTAATACCCTCTACGGGGAGGAATTCCACCTATCTGTTAGAGTTTTTAACAGACAACGAGACAAGAAGTCACAGCTTCTCGAGACGCTGGCCTTCCTCAAGAGATGCCTCACTTGATACAGTAAATTTTAGCTGTGACGGTCCCACCTGATGACGGAGACTTTTGTTGCCTCCGAAACGTCGTGATTTATTATTTTATTTCTATAAATTTTATTATTTATTATTATTTATTTTTACCTACGTGACTTTACCGAAAAAACCTAAGAGTATTGGGGCAGTTGTTGATCGTGATGGGCACTGATGTTAGTGGTGGTAGTGCAAGAATACCTGCGCCTGCTTGAAAACAATCAGGCTGGCCTGCCTTTGATTCTGCCTGGGTTTATTCACATGAGATTGTGTGAGGTGATCACAAAGCATTGAAAGATATGGACTTTTTTTACAGAAGTGAGATCCTCCGGCAAGTGATGTTGCATTTGCTGTGTCATGTAGTCCACATGGTAAAGCACTCTAGTCGACTTTATGATAAAAAAACAGGTAATGGTGCAGTGCTGAAATGTCTTGCTCATGCCACTGCTGGCAGAAGGGCCTCCACTGACGGGGGCTCTACAGAGCCCACCCCCTAAAGAGTATTTTGGCTTACGGTTTCACATTCGTCAGCCGCCACGGAACAGGTGGAATCACCTAACCTACTAACTGCTTTGTGCCAATTTATACTTGTGGGTGGACAGAGGCGTTTGAGAAATTTGTCCATTTGAACTGAAGCGTGATCAAATTGGACTGATGACGTCTGTATTGCAAGTCCAGCGTGTTAACCACTACACCATGGACCTTATGTCATACGGTAGGGTATATCCTAGCATTGCCATATTGTGGCAACCATTGTATGGAGGGTGGGGGACGGTCGGCTGAGCGGACGCTTGCTATGTTTTCCGTCGTCAGACCCCGTTCGCGAAGGCAACCAGATGCTGCTGGAAGGGGCCGTGGAGATGGTGGACATGCTGGGCAGGGAGTGTCAGTTGGAGCCCGAGGTCACGCAGGAGGTCACGAGAATACTCAGGCTTAAGGTGCGACCTCCCCCCCCCCCCCCCCACTGACGGTGGGAGCCTCTAGACATGACCGCAGATGTTGAGTTCTGGGATGATGTCATCCTCTGCGGCCGTTGTCCCACAAGGTGGTTCGCTGCTCACTGTGAGAATTTCGGACGGAGATTTGTTTGTGGCACTGGTAGTGAGTGAAATTTAATTCGATGGTGGAACAAAAATAAAAGTTTAACTTTTGCAAATAAAATTTGGATGGGAGATCGGAGAGTGGTTTCCTGAGGCCATGTATCCTCATTGCTCGTGGAGCATGGGAACAGGAACCTGGGTCCTGGGCCCGTGCCGGTTCACATGGATGCTCATTGGATGCACAGCTTTGTTACCAGGTCTCTGTAGAATCTTTGGGTGCCTTATCGGATGACTTTGTGTCTTAACGATAGGCCTCCGCAGGGCGTTAAGATGAGGCTTAGCTACCTGCATGATGAGAATACCAGCTATGGCACTTTGGGCACTCAGCTCCTCGCCCCTCCCTTGGTTCGCTGAACTAGAGAACCTCGTGGGTGGAGGAGGAAAGGGTGATGGTTTCGCCACAGGCGCATGGGTGCATCAGAGCGCCTGCGATTGTCGACACTCAGGAATTAGAAGGGGGCTCACTTGGGCCTTTGCCAGGAGGGACCCTAGGAAGGGGGCTCGTTTGGGGGGCTTGGGGCAAGAGGGACCCTCGGGGGTTGGTGCTGGATAGTGGATGCTGCTTCGTGGTATCTTGGAGTTTGCTTGACTTGAGCGCGCGTGTGTGCTGTGCTTGTGTGCGTGTGGTGACTTGGTCTTCTTTCTTGCTCAGCTCCTGACGGAGGCGCGCGTGCAGGTGCAGCGAAACAAACGGCTCCAGACCGACCTCGTGGACCCTTGGTACTCGCTCGACTTGAAGCCGCATATCTTACGAATCATCGACTCCGTCCCCCAGAGCAGTCAGGCGTCCTCCTATGTTCAGGTGCCAGCCCCCGAGCTCTCCGCCAGCTCAGCTTGGTTAACAAAGCGATGTTTCCATCAGGCCCGGCTAAGCTCCTCTTGGGTTGTGCGGCCAGCCAGTATACCGCGAAGGAGAGTGTATATATGTATGTTGAATTTCTTTCGTTCTGTACGTAGCCAACTGTGTTAATCGGATGTGCAGGGAAATTTGAGGTTGGTCAGTTCATTGTAAAACCGCCCTTGTCGACTTCCCCAAAGTGGTACTGATTTTATCGACCCTGGAGGGAGAGATGATTGGCTGGGTAAACCCCAGACCAGGATTTGAACTCGCAACCTTCTGTTTGTGAGCCGTTCGCTCTTCCGCCGAGGCATCTTTGAGACCAAACACCTCGCACTGCTGTTGGTGAGCGGTGTGGTCAGGAGGAGGAATGTAACACGACTGATGCTGTTGATTGTGTGTTTGAAAACAGCTCCTGAAAGAAAGCCTGGCTCAAGAGACACCTCCAGCTGACAAAACAAATGGGTAGGTGGTGTCCGTGTGTTTGTGACGGGAGTCCTTGGTGTGGCTGTCGAAAGGAGAAGGTGGAGTTGCGAGTGACGCCTAAGAACCTTGATCTGGTTAGAGAAATGGAGGCGTTCGAGGAGAGATCGCGAGGCCCAGAGTCACAGCTGCGAGGCGGCAGTGTACTCCGAGAGCCTCTCGGATGTAAAGGCGCGTTGGTGGGGTCGACAGAGGTGAAGAGGAGGGGCTGTCATCTGTGTAGGAATGGTAATTGACTCCTAAGCCGTCGACGTGACGACCAGTAGGAGACGTGCAGGCATCAAACAACAGGGAGCCGAGGACAGCATCCTGAGAGGACTCCCGTGTTAGAACGTTGATGCTTGCCCATCCAAACACCATCGAGACTCGACGTCAGCATATAATCCGCATATAATTTGTTTAAACGAATAGCGATTCAATGCTTGAATTGTGAGCATCAGAATCGAGGTTTTAGTGGACGCGTCGATTGAGTGGCCGCCGGCTCGTCGTCCGGCACCGGCTGTGGTGGCGTCGGCTGGCGTTCCTCCTCCGGTCCGAATGACACCGACCTCTACCCGTGTCCTCGTCCCCACAGCGGTGAATTCCTACACAGGGGCCACATCAAGGAGGCCTTCCTCTCCATCTCCGACTGCCGAGAGGCCGCGCTCAATACCTTCGAGGTCCTGCTGCTCACCGACGTTCCGCCTCTGGGCCTCAAACTCGCCCAGCCGGCCATGGGCGCTGCCAAAAGCTCGCCAGGGCCCAAGCGCCGGGAGGACTCCTCCGAGCCCGACGGCGCCACGGCCAATAATTCGGTGGCGTCGGCACGGGTCATCTCTGTGCTGCCGAAACAGTCGTCCCCGGCTAAGGGACTCGCGGGGCCGGAGACTCCTCGACGCGTTCCTAAGGGCAGCCGGGAGGAGAAGGAGAAGGTGGTGGCAGCACGGCCGGCGACACCACCATCGCCACCACCGCTATCCCCTCTCCTTTTGAGCGACTCGGAGGAGCTGCTGCCGATGCGGATGATCGTCCAGAGCAAGCGGAGCGACCCGAGCACAGCTGAGGCGGCGTGCGACGATGCCCACCAGGTCAGAGCCACCACGTGCGAGCGTGGGGAGCGGCGGTGCAGTGGTTAGCGCACTGCGCGAGGAACTCGACGACCCGAATTCGATTCCCGTGACGATTATTTGAACCGGAACCGGTCTTGGGCCACCCTTAGGTGGCTTCAGCCTTGACCGAGTACCTGGTGTGACGTGTTAACATCAGCACTGTCGGCAGGGCGTGGTGCTGGTCACCCAACCGCTTTCCTGTTCCGTGCCGGCCTTAATAGGTGTTCACTAACACCTCCTACCGCAACAGTCTGTTACAGGCGATATCGGTGGGGGTGTTTGTTTTTCATTGTGCACGCGTGAAGATGAGCACCACCGACTTCATCCCCTCCACTTACGAGGAGACACCGCCCACCGCCCCCGCCAGGGATGTCGCGCATCCCGGCTCGACTCCACCGATTTTGGCGATCATCGGAAGGAAGAGGAGGAGCGACAGCCCCAGGAGGCGGGTGGAGGAGGCGGCCGCCACCCCGCGGCTCGTGGAGGACGGCGAAGTCGCGGGGCCCAGCAAACCCAGGGCAGCCACGATCTCGCCAGCGAAGGCGACTTGCGACAAATGGGACAAAGGTCACGGGCACGCGGCGCGCAACCACGTTGAGCGGACCGGCAGGTTTCCCGGCGACGGCTTCAGCTCCGCGGAGATACGGGGGTGAGTGGGGCGCGCCTGGCTCGGTTTAGACCTGAGCTGTAGGACAGGGAGGGGGGTGGGGCTATGTGGAAGGGGGGTGGAGCTAACATGACAGGGGGTGGGACTATAGGGATTTCTTGCAAACTGCTTTTTGTGTTTAGTTTTTGTTGTCCTTCCCCCGCACTTCCGATAATCACGGTTGGCTACATACGGTGCGAAGAAGTTTCTTTCACATACGTGCATACATAAGTGGTAAGGGGGTCACTGTAGGGGTGGAGGAGTCGACCTGTTTATGACCCCACCGCTAAAGTCGTGTCGATTGTGTTGCCCTCTCTGACCCTTGCCTTCCCCCCCCCCCCCCCGCAGGCTGCCCCCCTTGATGATAAAGGACGAGTGGTCGGATGAGGAGGACTTGTTTGGGCCGAGCAAGGGTGAGTGTCGTGCGTGCGACATCGCCACAACCGGTGGGGCAGGGAGTTGGTGCGTGACGTGATGAGTGCCAGCAACACGCGTGCATGTGCACACACGTACACACGTACACACAAACCTGTTTGCGTGTGTACGTGTGTATGCGTGTACGCGCGCCTCAAGACTTTTCAAGAGGGTGCGGCCAAGTCTTCGCAGTAGCAGGGGCGATGTTGCTGCTGCTGTGTGTAAAACAAATTGAGAAATGTGCAGGTCAATACCAGTTACATTATTTGCGTGTGGGAGGAAAACAGGAGGCAAACGTACATACTCCAAGCAGCAAGGCACCCGAGTCGGGAGTCGAACCCAGACCTCTCTTGCTGTGAGACACGAACGTTACCGCTGCCGCCCGAAACCAACGTCTCCCATGTGCGCGTGTGCAGTGGCAGGAAGACAATCCAAATTCGGCTCGTCGGCAAAGAAGAAGGTGAGGGAGGCTCGGGCCCCGAGTGAAGGTTGTTTATCCATCGTCACCACCACCACCGTCACCACCACCGCCGTCACCACCACCGTCATCACCACCGTCACCACCGCCGTCATCACCACCGTCATCACCACCGTCACCACCACCACCGTCACCACCACCGTCACCACCACCACCGCCGTCACCACCGCCACCGCGTGGGTTGAGAACGAATTCCCATTGGCCGCTGTGGCGGTCGCTTGTAGAGACTTGGCCCCACAGCAGCGACGTGGCCCGGCTCGCCCTTGGCCGCACACACGCGCAGTCTCCACCCTTTGTCGCACCGCGCGCCTCCCACTCCCGTTCAGCGTCGACGAGCTGTGGTCTCGGGGTCACTCCGAAGGGCGGCGGAGTCAGGGACGTGTGACAGCGGCGGTGGTTGGAGGGGGGGGGGGGTCACGATCGCGGAGAGTGCGGTTTCACTGCCGCGTTCACCGAGCCGTCCTCGCGGTTAATCCGTGTTGGTGTCACCACCACCCTGATAATGTCTGTCGTAGTGATCATCTTAAGTCATTGTCATCATCATTGTTGGACATGGACTATCCACCCCCCCCCCCAATCCAAGCGATTGTGTTGGGGGCTTCATTGTAGCAGTTCACGTTTAATTTTTTTCCCTTTCATTTATTTCTCCACGTTTACCCAGTAGCAGAGGAAGATGATGAGGTGCATGCTGGGCAATGCAGTTGAGAGATATAAAGAGGAACACGGAGCGTGGAAAACAAACAGAGGTTGTAGGCATCATAATTCACAGCCCTTTGTAATATTTCACTGCTGGATAAATACTTCCCCAGGCCGTGTCGGGTCGTGGGGGGTGTTTGACCCTACTTCACCATGCTGGTGAGTGCAGCTCCGTCAAGCGGGAGGATGGGGTGGGATAGTGTTGGGGGAAACGGTTCAATTATCACCACTGATGTTAGCCGTCGGTCCCTGTGTGCTTGTCTCCTCCCGGTGTCCTCTTGTCCCCAGTGTCTACATCTCACTCATGTCCCCATCTCTCCTCCTTGTCCCCATGTTCCTATCTCGCCCCGTCCCTGCCTCCCCGCGTGTGTCTCCGCATCTCTGCGTCTCGGGTAGAAGATGTGGACAGAGACGGAGACACAGTGTCTGAAAGAGGGCGTCGCAAAGTTCGGCGTGGGAAACTGGAGCAAGATCAAGCGGCACTACTCCCTGAGCCGCACCACCGTGCAGCTCAAGGACCGCTGGAGAAACATCTCCAAGTAGGGGGGCAGCACAAGGTTCCTACAAACTTAGGTTGGAGGGCAGTACGGCTTAAAAACTAAACTATAGAACTGTTTTTGATTTGACCAGGTAAGGGGTGTACTGAGCTATTTAGCTCTTTTTCAAAAGCGTCCTGGCTATCACAAATGGTAGCTCATCGAAGTGGTTTATATGGGGAAATTTAGAGCACCCAAATACTCTAAGCGCGTGATGTTGATTCTAAATGTGGAGGGGAAAACCGGAGGACCCGGAGAAGAATCCACGCGGCCATTGGTTGAGAGACACGCAAACTCCAAATAATCAGGCGTCATGGTGGGGATCGGACCCACGGCCTCCTGCATACCAGGCGAGGTAGTTAACATCTCGCTACTGTGGCTTAGGCGGGGAGGGGGAGCGACGTGGGCCACGGCGTCTGGGCTGGGAAGAACACGCCGGGCATTGTCGGGCGACGTAGCGTCTCCGGGCGAGAGCGTGCGCCGTCGCGAGGGGTGGCCGTGAGAGAACTCGCAGAGGGCCCGACGGTTTGCAGCGCGGCCCCCGCGGCTTGTCGGTGCAGGAAAACCCCTCGACGCAATGCGACAGGTCAACCAACAAAGTCTCCTATGGCTGCCGTGGACAGGGGGACAGTCCGAGAGACGATCGTCGTCACTGCTGAAAGGTGTTTTTTATATGGGAACGGCTGGCACCCAAGTGTCCATTGGCGTGCATTCCTCTCGCTGGCACTTCCTGCCACAATGCAGCACTCTGCTGGGAGCAGTGAGGGGGCGGGGGGGGTCTCAGGACAGCTACCTGCGCTGTTGTGCGCAGGACACCGCCTCCCCCCTCCCTCCACATTGGCGGGGAGAGGGAGGGCGCCCACGTGTCTTCTCTGTGCCCAGCCGCGGGCATGGAATTCACAGCGTCACCTTCCGACCCTCAGGAGTTTGTTTTTTGACGGTCAGGAATGGATGCCGTGGGTCCCTGGCGCATCACGTGGGAGAGAATGAGCGTGCGAGACGATGGCATTCAACATTGGTTGGTAAATTAAGTTGTCAAGTTTGTGTCGTGACGCCGCTGCTGCGAGGCAGTCCGTGTTGCATTGCAGTGGCGTGTAGTGTGTGTGGTGTGTGTGGTGTGTGGTCAGGTAAACACGCACGGGGTGACGTGAAGACGCCGCCACGAAAGACACTCGCACAATTCCATTACAATGGGTTTTGTCAAAAGATACACTGTCGATCCTTGGGGTTGGGAGTCATAAACCCCCTTAAACCCCTTACCCCCCCTGACCCCCCTTACCCCCCCTGACCCCCCTTACCCCCCCTGACCCCCCTTACCCCCCCTGACCCCCCTTACCCCCCCCCGGACCCTCCCCTCCTTCCCTGGATGTTGTGGTTTTACATTCAAGATCTTGGTTTCCTTAGGCCCTAATTTTTAAATGTTTGTCTTTTTCTGCAAATAAATCTTGGCTGTTCTGCCAGTTTGTTCTGCTGGCGTCACGTGCTAAGATGAAGGATCCACTCGGATCTCTCCGCAGAGCAGTGCTAAGAGACTGTAACCTGCGGAAGTGGATATCAACGAGCTACAGCTGAGATCCATTCAAGTGACCTGGTCTGAATTAGTCCAGGCCTGAAGAGTCCTCTTCCGTTCTGAGGGTCCGATTCGGACTCTCAAATGGCGGACAAAGTCAGAGTGATCTCCTGCTGCTCAAATGAACATGCAGGCATTAGTGCTCATCTTCTGTTCATACCACTGAGCTTGTGGAAATTCCACGTTCATATGGCGGGGCGAGTATATCCAGAGGATAACCACTGTTGACTTCCCAAAATATTGGAACTTATTTTATCTGACTCACCCCCCACCATCCAGGATTTGAACTCGCAACCTTCGGATTGCGAGGTGCTCGCTCTGCTGATGAGTCACCTGATGGGCTAAGACAGAGATCCCCCGTGTAGCCTTAACAGACTTGGTGCTGTTAGCGCGTCACACCTATGAAAATCGGCACGGCGCACGAGGGGTTGGGTGGCCAGCACCTCGACCTGCCGCCTTTGTCTCCCCAGTGGCGATGTTTTCTGCACACTGCTCACATTGCCGCACGCGTCGGGCACAGGAGGAACGTCGTACGTGCTGAGTCGTGATGTCATGTTCCACGATACGTTATTAAACGTGACGATACGACTTCTGATATCCGTTTCCCATAACTGTCTCCTTGCATTTCAGGATTTGTTTTTGTGCGTTTATGCAATTCTTGTGCGGCAGGGCGGTGGTGGCGACAGAGTGGTAGTTCTCATGCCTCACAGCAAGCAGGGCCTGGGTTAAATTCCTGACTCGGGCACCTTTCTGCGTGGAGTTTGTACATTTTCCCCCTGTTCTGCAGTGTGAGTGTGTGGAGTCTGTAGGTCTCTCCCTGGTCTGCAGTATGAGTCTGTGGAGTCTGTTCTCTTCCTGGTCTGTAGTATGAGTGTGGAGTCTATGCTCTCTCCCTTGGTCTGCAATATGAGTGTGGAGTCTGTATCTTCTCTCCCCTGGTCTGCGTGTTATCTCCGGGTCTCCCCGTAGTTTTCCATAGCTAAAACAACAACCTACGTACAATGTAGCCGTGGTATTGGTCTACCAAAACATTCCAACGCTGAAAAATTACACCTGATAATCACTCAGCTGGCAGTACACGCACCAGTGGCATCGTCCCGTTCTCCCATCGAAACTTCCCATGATTCCTCCACGCGTAATCATTGCAACTTTACAATCTATAACGTCTTTACGCAAAATGTAATGAGTTAATTACGGATATGACCATAGTGCTGTCAATTTGCAAGACATTTTAAATAGTACATATTTTGCAAAGCCCGACAGTTAATGGTTAAAATTGCTATATTTTTAAGCGCGGATTTTGCGTGTAAAAGTTAATAATTATCGACATTTCATACGTTTTATTTCAGAATGTTAAATCTTTGTCGAAAAATGCAACGTGCAATTATGGTCACGGCAGTAGGACGACGTTTTGGTAAAGCAGATGATGTGCGATTATCGTGGATCGTATATCGTGGACCGATTATCGTGGATCGATTATCGTATATCGTGGACCGATTATCGTGGATCGTATATCGTCTTGACCCCAATACGGACACCATGCGCACTTAACACACAGATCCCCCGTGTAGCCTCAACGGACTGTAGGGGCAAGTGCTGTTATCGAGCACCTGTGAAGACCGGCACGGCGCAGGAGGGGGCGAGTGGGCCAGCGCAACGCCCGGCCGCCTTTGTCTCCCCAGTGGCGATGTAAACACATCGCACCAGGTACTCATTTGAGGCCGAGTCGACCTAGAAGCCTAGGACTGGTTCAAATAATCGTCACTGGGGTTGGTCGTAAACGGGAATCGAACTTGGGTTGCCGGGTTCTAAGTGGACACCACCACACCATCACACACCCCATGCATTACACACCATCACCCCCCCCCCCCCATGCATTACACACCATCACACACCCCATGCATTACACACCATCACACACCATCACCCCCCCCCCCCATGCATTACACACCATCACACACCATCACACACCATCACACACCATCACACACCCCCCCATGCATCACACACCATCACACACCATCACACACCATCACCCCCCTCCCCATGCATTACACACCATAACACACCATCACACCCCCCCATGCATTACACACCATCACACACCATCACACACCCCCCCCCCCATGCATCACACACCATCACACACCATCACACACCATCACACACCATCACCCCCCCCCCCCCCATACATCACACACCATCACCCCCCATGCATCACACACCATCACACACCATCACACACCCCCCCCATGCATCACACACCATCACCCCCCCCCCCATGCATTACACACCATCACACACCATCACACACCATCACACACCATCACACACCCCCCCATGCATCACACACCATCACACACCATCACACACCATCACCCCCCTCCCCATGCATTACACACCATCACACACCATCACACCCCCCCATGCATTACACACCATCACACACCATCACACACCATCACACACCCCCCCCCCCATGCATCACACACCATCACACACCATCACACACCATCACCCCCCCCCCCCCCATGCATCACACACCATCACCCCCCATGCATCATACACCATCACCCCCCCCCCCCATGCATTACACACCATCACACACCATCACACACCCCCCATGCATCACACACCATCACACACCCCCCATGCATCGCACGCCATCGCCATCGCGCACGCGCGGCGCTCTCATCTCGCGTGGCCAATGAGCGGAGGCGACGGCGGCGTCAGCAATGGGGGGGGGGTGGGGGGTGCCGAGACGGAGGAACGGCGACAGAGGGCGGAGGAGGAGGAGGAAGAAGCCGGGGCGAGGAGTGGAGAGAGGAGCAGGGACGGCGACTAGCGGAGACTCGAAGGATCAACGGGCAGGGAGCAGCGACGGGGAGGGAGGAAGAGGAGGGAGGGAGGAGAGGAACAGCAATAGAGGTGGGGGGGAGAGCGGAGAATCGAGGGGATCAAGGAGGAGGAGAGAGCAGGGAGGGCGAGGGAGCAGAGGAGAGGAGGGAGCAGAGGGGACGAGGGACGAGACCGACGAAGAGGAAAGAGAGCGGAGAATCGAGGGGATCAGCGAGGTGGGGGAGCAGCCGGAGGAGAGAACGGGGAGGAGGAGGAGGGAGAAGGAGGAGGAGGAGGGAGAAGAAGGGAGGGGGGAGACGGACGCGGGGGACCACGCTCGCTCGCTCGGAACAAGCCGGGCGACTCGAGGCACCGCCGCGCGCCCCTGCAGGAAGGAGCCCCGCGCCGCCCGGCAGAGCGAGGTCCGTCTCGGCCCCCCCCCCTCCAGCGCGCGCTCCGTCTCGGCCCCCCCCCCCTCCAGCGCGCGCTCCGTCTCGGCCCCCCCCCCCCCCAGCGCGCGCTCCGTCTCGGGCCCCCCCCCCTCCAGCGCGCGCTCCGTCTCGGCCCCCCCCCCCCAGCGCGCGCTCCGTCTCGGCCCCCCCCCCTCCAGCGCGCGCTCCGTCTCGGCCCCCCCCCCCTCCAGCGCGCGCTCCGTCTCGGCCCCCCCCCCCCCAGCGCGCGCTCCGTCTCGGGCCCCCCCCCCTCCAGCGCGCGCTCCGTCTCGGGCCCCCCCCCCCCCCCCCAGCGCGCGCTCCGTCTCGGGCCCCCCCCCCCCAGCGCGCGCTCCGTCTCGGGCCCCCGCCCCCCAGCGCGCGCTCTGCGCTGCTCGAAGCGCCGCGTCCATTGCTCGGTACCCGTCGGTAGCGCGGCACTGTTTGTTGTTGTGTGTGTGTGCCAATGTGTTGTTGTTGTGTGTGTGTGTGTGCCAATGTGTTGTTGTTGTGTGTGTGTGTGCCAATGTGTTGTTGTGTGTGTGCGTGCCAATGAGTTTGTTGTTGTGTGTGTGTGTGCCAATGTGTTGTTGTGTGTGTGCCAATGTGTTTGTTGTTGTGTGTGTGCCAATGTGTTTGTTGTTGTGTGTGTGTGCCAATGTGTTGTTGTTGTGTGTGTGTGCCAATGTGTTGTTGTTGTGTGTGTGTGCCAATGTGTTGTTGTGTGTGCCAATGTGTTGTTGTTGTGTGTGTGTGCCAATGTGTTGTTGTTTGTGCCAATGTGTTGTTGTGTGTGCCAATGTGTTGTTGTGTGTGTGTGTGCCAATGTGTTGTTGTTGTGTGTGTGTGTGCCAATATGTTGTTGTTCTGTGTGTGCGTGCCAATGTGCTGTTGTTGTGTGTGTGTGCCAATGTGTTGTTGTTGTTGTGTGTGTGTGTGCCAATGTGTTTGTTGTTGTGTGTGCCAATGTGTTGTTGTTGTGTGTGTGCCAATGTGTTGTTGTTGTGTGTGTGCCAATGTGTTTGTTGTGTGTGCCAATGTGTTGTTGTTGTTGTGTGTGTGTGCCAATGTGTTGTTGTTGTGTGTTTGCGTGCCAATGTGTTGTTGTTTGTGTGTGCGTGCCAATGTGTTGTTGTGTGTGCCAATGTGTTGTTGTTGTGTGTGTGCCAATGTGTTGTTGTTGTTGTGTGTGTGTGCCAATGTGCTGTTGTTTGTGTGTGCGTGCCAATGTGTTGTTGTTTGTGTGTGCGTGCCAATGTGTTGTTGTGTGTGCCAATGTGTTGTTGTTGTTGTGTGTGCCAATGTGTTGTTGTTGTTGTGTGTGCGTGCCAATGTGTTGTTGTTGTGTGTGTGCGTGCCAATGTGTTGTTGTTGTGTGTGCGCGCCAATGTGTTGTTGTGTGTGCGTGCCAATGTGTTGTTATTGTTTGCGTGCCAATGTGTTGTTGTTGTTTGTGTGCGCGCGTTCTGTGCGTGTATGGGGAGCGGTAGCGCAGTGGTTTGCGCCCGGCGCTTGAATGAACCCGGAGATCCGAGCTTCGAAATTCCGCTCGCGACCAACGCTAACAACGTCTGAATATATCTCAATCGGTCCTGGGTCTCAGCTAGGTCGACTCGACCCTAAATGAGTAACAGGATGCCGGGTGTAAACATCAGCACTGGGGAGACAAAGGCGGCCGGGCGTGGTGTTGTCCACCCACCCCCTCGTGTCTCCTGCTGGCCTTCATAGGTGCTCGCTAACAGCACTTGCCCCAACAGTCTGCTGAAGGCTACAGGGGTCATCTTTGTCTTTGTATGAATGTGTGTGTGTGTGCCGCTAACAGCACTTGCACAAACAGCCCGGGCTGTCTATATGGGGGATCTTTGTCTCTGTTGTTGTTGTGTGCGCGTGTCAAGGCGTTGTGTGTAAATGCACGCGAATGTATTCGTGTGGGGAGCGGTGGCGCTGCGGTTAGCGCTACGCTGCACTACGAAACCCCCGTCCCGAGTTCGATTCCCGCTCACGATCAACACCGAGTGACGATGATCTAAAGCCGGGTCCTGGCCCTCCGCTAGATCGACTCAACCTCAAATGAATAATCTGGGGCGATGTGTAAAATCATCGCTACAAGGGAGACAAAGGCGGCCGGGCGTGGTGTTGGCTGGCCACCCACCCCCTCGTGTGCCGTGTCGGCCTTCATAGGTGCTCGCTAACAGCACTTGCCCCAAGTCTCTTCAAGGCTATACGAGGGATCTTTGTCTTTGTGTGTGGGGGGTGAAGGGGGGTAGTGGGTAATTCCGTGCGCACACGATTGTTCATGCACGCGCGTGTGTCAATGTGTACCCGAGCGTGCGTGTGTCATTACGTGTGTGCGTGTGTGGTTCCGTGAGTGTGTGCGTGTGTCATTGCGTGTGTGTGTCATTACGTGTGTGTCTGCGTGTATAATTACGTGTGTGCCATTACGTGTGTGTGTGTGTCATGACGTGTGTGTGCGCGTGGCTACGACTGTCGAGTGTGCAGGCGGTGCAATTGCACCGGAGAAGATGCGGGGGGGTGATCTGTGCGCGTGTCTACTCCACGTGTGCGAGTTTCTTCGCCTTTGTATATCCGCGCGTGTGTGTGTGCTTGCGCGTGTACACGTGTATGTGTGTACACGTGTGTGTGTGTACACGTGTATGTGTGTACACGTGTATGTGTGTACACGTGTGTGTGTGTACGCGCGTGTGTGTGCACGCAAGTGTGTTGTGTGTGCGCGTGTGTGTACACGTGTACGCGTGTGTGTACGCGTGTGTGTGTGTGCGTGTGTGCACGTGTGTGCACGTGTGTGTGTGTACTCGTGTGTGTACGTGTGTGTGTGTGTACACGTGTGTGTGTACGCGTGTGTGTGTGTACGTGTGTGTGCACGTGTGTGTGTACTATGAGGATGTTGCGGTCGGAGGAAGCTGCTCCCTGCACTGTATGTGTGTGGCTTTGCGTGTGTTCGTGTGTATGTATGCGTGCGTGTGTTCGTATGTACGTGTGTGTATGTATATCTGTGTGTGCGCATACACACGTGTGTGCGTGCACTTGTATGTGTATCTGTGGGGAGCGGTGGCGCAGTGGTTAACGCACTGTGATACAAACCGGTTCCAATCTCGCCTATGACCAATAACAATGTCTGAATATCTGAACCGCTCTTGGGCCTCCCCTAGGTCGACTCGGCCTCAAAAGTACCTGGTTCGGTGTGTAAACATCGCCACTGGGGAGACAAAGGCGGCCGGGCGTGGTGCTGGGCACCCACCCCCTCGTGTGCCGTGCCGGCCTTCATAGGTGCTACTCGCTAACGGCACTTGCCCCTGCAGTCTGTGAAGGCTACACGGGGGATCTTTGTGAGTGTGACAGTGTGAGTGTGGGGAGCGGTAGTGTAGTGGTTAGCGCGCTGCGCTACGAACCCGGCGGGCCGAGTTCGATTCCCGCACACGGCCAACACCAGTGACGATTATCTGAACCGGTCTTGGGCCTCCCCTAGGTCGACTCAGCCTCAAATGAGTCCTGGTGTGGCGTGTAAACATCGCCACTGGGGAGACAAAGGCGGCCGGGCATGGTGCTAGCCACCCACTTCGCGTGTGCCATTCCGACCTGCATAGGTGCTCGCTAACAGCGCTTGCCCCAACAACCTTTGTCTTTTGGTGTCATGTATGAGTGCACACACGTGTGTGTGTGTACACGTGTGTGTACACTGTGTGTGTGTGTACAAACACGCGCATCTCCCTATGGGGGTCATAGGGGGCACGCTTCTCTGATTAAATAGCTGCCCTCTCCCCCTCCCCGCTTCTCCCCTACGCTCAAAGGTGCGCGCAGCATCGGTAAGGGAGGGATTGGGAAGGGAGAGATTGAGAATGGAGAGATAGGAGGAGGGAGAGAGAGGAGGAGGGAGAGAGAGGAGGAGGTGAGAGAGAAGTGGAGGAGGTGAGAGAGAGAGGGAGTGAAGATGAGAGGGGAATGGAGAATAGGAAAGAGAGGCATGGATGATGGAGGGAGAGGCTTTAGGTGATGTAAGGAGTGAGGAGGAATGGCGTGATGATGATGATGGTGTGTAGAGGGGAGCGGTGGTGTAGTGGTTAACGCGCTGCGCTACGCACCTGGCGACCAGAGTTCGATTCCCGCTCACGGCCAACACCAGTGACGATTATCAGAACCGGTCCTGAGCCTCCCCTAGGCCTACTCGGCCTAAATAAATGGATGCCTGGTGCGGTTTGTTAAAACATCGCCACTAGGGAGACGAAGGCGGTCGGGCGTGGTGCTGGCCACCCACCCCTCGTGTGTCGTGCCGGCCTTCATAGGTGCTACTCGCTAACAGCACTTGCCCCAACAGTAGGTTCAGGCTATACGGGGGATCTTTGTTTGTCTTTGTGTAGAGGTGGTGGTGTTATTATGGTACTGATGGTGATGATGATGGAGTGACATTGGGGGGGGGGGCGGAGTTGATCACCACATGCCTCGATAATTGTTGTTAACCTTTTTGTCCACTCCCCGTACCAAGGACGGGGACGAGAGGCTCGCCAGGGGGTGAACTGAGACCAGAGAAGGGAGCAGAGAGAGAGAGAGAGGACGAAGACAGTGGACCAGGAGACAGGCGACTGGGGAGATAGCGCGATCGGAGGACGAGGGGACCAGGGAGACAGGGAGACCTGGGGACGAGGGATCAGGGAGACGAGGGGATCAGGGAGACGGGGGATCAGGGAGACAGGGAGACCTGGGGACGAGGGATCAGGGAGACGGGGGATCAGGGAGACAGGGAGACCTGGGGACGAGGGATCAGGGAGACGGGGGATCAGGGAGACAGGGAGACCTGGGGACGAGGGATCAGGGAGACGAGGGGACGAGGGATCAGGGAGACGAGGGGATCAGGGAGACGGGGGATCAGGGAGACAGGGAGACCTGGGGGCGAGGGTTCAGGGAGACGGGGGATCAGGGAGACGGGGGATCAGGGAGACGGGGGATCAGGGAGAGATGGGGATCAGGGGATCAGG